CAAATAGGCTAACAATAACTTTCTTTAAGGAGCCCCTTAGCAATCTCTGAAAGATTCCTAGATGTAAATAGGGAATCTTAATCCATAATTAAGAATTAAAGGGAAAGAAAAATGGCAAAGAATGTAGGAAGATGGCAATTTATTGACTACAAAATGTCTTATAAACATGAATAGAATATACATTCAGAAAATACACAAAGCTCAAATGTATCACTCAATAATTACTTACAAAGTCAACAACCCATTAACTAACACCCTGTGAGTAAAGAGAACATTACTAGGTACTCCAGAAGCTGTCCACAGACCCCTCCCAGTCATATATTCCCCTCCTCTACAAAAGTAACAATTACCTTGCCTTCCGCTGCCATATGTCAATTTTCTCTAGTTTCAAACTTTTTTTATTTTTTAAAGATTTTTTATTTATTTATCCATGAGAGACAGACAGAGAGAGAGAGAGAGAGAGAGAGAGAGAGAGAGGCAGAGACACAGGCAGAGGGAGAAGCAGGCTCCATGCAGGGAGCCTGATGTGGGACTCGATCTTGGGACTCCAGGATCATTCCCTGGGTGGAAGGCAGGAGCGCAAGCGCTGAGCCACCCAGGCATCCCACTAGTTTCAAACTTTAAACAGAAACAAACATGTTCTCCTTTGTGTCTTGTCTTGTTTTACTAAACATCATCTATGTTGTCCCTCATTGTAGTTTTGTTTTCATTGTTATGTATTATTCCATTGTACCAACATACTAGTTTATTCATGTTTTTGTTGATGGACTTTTGGAGTTTTCCTGGTTTGGATGATGCTATGAACACTCTTGTACATGTCTTTCTGTATATATGTCACTGGCTTATAGGGTAAGTCTATGCTCAGTAATAATATGCTGAACCATTTTCCAGTGTTTATACCAATTCAAATTCCCAATGGCACTCTTATGTTCACAGAATCACCTCTGGCTGCTGCATTGTGAATTTGCAAGGGTAGGGTGGAAGCAGGAAGATCATCAAGAGGTTTTGTATTAATTTATGTGATAAGATGGGGCTCAGTTCAGAGTGGTGTATGAAAAGTGGTTGCATTCTGGTTGTATTTTAAAGGTAGAGTCAACAGGAATTTCCTGACATGTTGGATATGGAGGATACAAAGAGAGGAGACACGGATGTTCTTAAGTATCTGGCCTAATCAACTTTATGGCTGGGACAGTCATCAACTGAGATAAAAACTTGGCAGTTTGAGAGAGATCATGAGTTCTATTTGGGCATGCACATTTGAGATGTCCATTATGCATCCAAATGGATATGTCAACTCAAATTTAAAGGCCCCGCCACGCATCACAGTATACGTTAACTTTCTAGCAGGGGGAGAATAAAATAATTGGCAGAAAAGATTTTGGAAAGTTTTAAAAATGTTTCTTTTATTCTCATTTAAAGTAGATAAATATATTCACATCATTCAAAATTCAAAAGATTTGTAAATGCATGAAGAGTCCCCATACTTTTGTCACCATGCTATTTGGTTCCATTACCAGGACATTAACTGATTTATTGTGTATTTTTAAGTGATTTGTAAAATTTTTCTTTTTTGGCATTAACAATTGGAGTTTCTATCTCTCTCTCTCTCTCTTTTTTTTTTTTTAGATTTTATTTATTTATTCATAGAGAGAGAGAGAGAGAGGCAGAGACACAGGCAGAGGGAGAAGCAGGCATCATACAGAGAGCCTGACGTGGGACTCGATCCAGGGTCTCCAGGATCACGCCCTGGGCTGCAGGCAGCGCTAAACCACTGCCACCGGGGCTGCCCTTGGAGTTTCTATCTCAAACAAAACAAAACAAATGGATATGTCAGGGAGGCAGTTGGAGTTCAAGAAAGAGGTCTAAGTCATTTATATAAATTTGGGAGTTGTTGGTAAATGATGGTGATTGGTAAGGGTCCAAGAAAAAGAGAAACTCACTGTGATTTGAACAGGAAAAGTTTACGTCAAGCATTATTTTTTAAAAAGATTTTTTAACATTTATTTATTTATTCATGAGAGACACACACAGAGAGAGAAAGAGAGGCAGAGACACAGGCAGAGGGAGAAGCAGGCTCCATGCAGGCAGCCTGATGTGGGACTTGACCCTGGGGTCTCCAGGATCACGCCCTGGGCCAAAGGCAAGCACTAAACCGCTGAGTCACCCAGGGATCTCCTACATTAAGCATTATTAACTACAACAGGTAACTGGAGCAATGGGAGGGTATGGCGGCTAATAAGAAGAGAATTCTAAAGAATATTAAGAATAGCAGATCTGAGGAGCAGCCACTACCCTAGGTCAGGTATAGAAGGCCCAGGAAGAGTCCCTCTTCTCAACTCCACCCCCCATCAGCTGAGATCTAGACCTCATTGAAGGGGTATGGCCATGGCCCACTGCTGTCAGGATGGTCCCTGTGATGCTACACCGCTGGAACTTGTTGGTGTTCTCTCTCTGGGTGCTGGGGAAAGACAGGTGTCTCAGGAGAGTCACTCCATGACAAAAGTGCCAGGAGGTGGGGGTGGGGGAGAGAGTGAGGTGCTGCTGGCCAATGGATGCTTCTGGCCACCACATACTGGAGGAGCTGGCCTTGGAAGAATGACCCATCTGCAGGAGTCTGGCCAAGGAGCAAAGGAGAACCAGGCAGAAAGACTGCCCCTGCAAAGTCTCTCCATCCCTCCCTATTGACAAAAGTTGATATATATGCCAGTGTCAAAGGAAATGTTTTTAGAGTAGGCAATTAAGAATGAATTTGTAGCAAGAGACAATAAATTGTTAACTGATACAGATGACAAAAAACTGCAAGACACAATGAAATCATCCAGGGAATAAGTATGGACATAGAAGAGAAAAGCAAAGGTTGAGTCCTGTGGGCTGACATTTAAACACGTCAGGTGGGAGTGGAAGAACCTTTAGCAAAGGCTACTGAGAAGGAGCAGCCATGATTGTGGGAGGTGTGCTGGGAACAACGAGAATCTAAGAATAGGAGGAGAGGAACTGGAGAACATATTGACAATTCTTTTGTGAAATTTTGCTACAAAAGGGCATGGAGAAAAGGTGTATTATCTGCTATAGGAAATGGGTCTAGAGGTTTTGTTCAATTTTTGTTTTGAAGATGAGAGAAATAACTACGCATTGTAGGATGACGGGAATAGCTCCGTAAAAGCTGATGATGCTGGGGAGAGGACAGACTGGGTGGAGCGACACCCTGGAGATGACGGGATCTTGCACCCAAGTGCAGGATTTCTTTAGGTGGACATAGTGGTAGTTCACCTACAGTAACAGGCAGGCAGCAGAGGGGGGCATGCGTGGATGTGGTGGTGGAAGTCTGTGACAGTGGGAGTCTCACTTCCATTTTTTTTTAGTGAAGTCAGAGCAAGGAAGGGAGAGGTGGTGGGAAAGACTGAAGAGAGAAGAGGAGATGAGAAAAACTCATTTGGAAGAAGACATAGACCAGGCAAAGTTAGCATTATTGAGCTGAGGGTGGTCAGCATGGCTCTGGGTTTTCCTCCAGCCATGTTTAGTTTCATATGTTGTAGCAAGGAGTCGATGGAGAATTGGGCTTACCCTGGGCTCTTATTTTACCAAGCAGATATGATGAAGTGATGGAGGTGAGGCAGTATACAAGAGGCTGATGGTAATGAGTGCCCTTGGAGTTTAAACTAGCTTACTAGAGGAGAAGAAGGGTAAGTCACCAAGGGAGGAAGGTAGTAAGATCTGGGTCAGAGGTACCGACTGGATTAGTTGGTTCCAGGGCATTAGAGGGACTAACCTTCCAAGACAGGAAGTGGCAGTCAGGGTGGGATGCTTTGGGGGTTGCAATCCTCGGACCTGACAAGGTCTAGGGTATATCACGGGGGTGAGGGGCTGACAAGACAGAGGACAAGCGTGGGAACCACTCATGGAGCCAAGAGAATGTTGGGAAGATCGACTTATACTGAAAGCTCCAAGAAGATACTGTCCGAGGGAATTACAAAATTACACACTCTTCACGGATGCGGGAGGTGTGCGTCCTGTAGGGCAGCCCTCCCTAGCACTGCCGTGAGCACCTGCGGGATGCTCACGGAGAGAACAAGCTCACTGTGAAAGGCACGAAGCACCGAGGTCTCAACTACCAGAATGAGCCTAGTTTCGTGGGCGGGGGGTGGGGGGGGCTGAGTCTCAGGAACACTGGTGGGTTCATATTGAAAAGAAAACCTCAAAAAAAAAAAAAAAGAAGAAAAGAAAAGAAAACCTCCAAGACAAGAAGGAGACACACATCCTGAAAACGTGCACAGTTCTGTTAGTCGCGAGGACGACCGGCTCACCCGAGATGGCGGTTAAGGGACCTTTCAGGCAGTCCCTCAGGGGGGAACGCGCAGGACCCTCCGGGGAAAGCCCCTCTTCCAGGCACAGAGAACCTGCCGAGCCGGAGCGTGTCCCGGGCCTCCGTCCTGGTGCTGGCACAGGAGGGAATCCCAGCACTGAAGAAGTCCGGCAAGTGCCCAGCTCCGTCACCTTCAAGGATGAGCCCGCAGATGAGCCAGAGAGACTCCCAACACCAGGCCTCGGAGGGGCGCGACGCCGCGAGCATTCGGAGGGGCCGTCAAGACGCCGGCTGACCGAGACTAAATAGGTTACTTCGTCTTCCGCCCTCCAACGAGGAACCGGCTCCGGGGGCACCCGGGGGCGCACGGCGAACGCCGCTCGGAGCCCGGACCGAGCCTGCAGCGCCGCGGCGCCCTCGCCCCGCGGGGATTGGCGGGGATTGGCGGGGATTGGCGGGGATTGGCGGGGCGGCCGGGGCGGGGCTCGCGCCGTCCTCGCCTGCGCCCGCCCTCAGCCAATCCGAAGCCTTCCTTCCGGCCCTCCCGCGAGTCGTCCTTCCGTCGGTCTCTGTCTTCAGCCTTCTTGTTTCCTGCCGGCGTGAAGAGTCCGCGCGTAGGGTGCATTTCCGCTTCCGGCGCTGTCCATGCGGGCCTGAGGAGCAGCGGTTGTGAGCTCGGTAACGGCCACGGGCTAGAGGAGGCGGGGGCGGGAGGGTCCCGGGGCCTGGGCCCCGAGAGTTTGCGAGTCGTGCTCGGCACGGGCTGCCGGGACAGTCTTTGCGCCCCGAAGAGCGTTCAGGCCCTGGGCAGCCTCACCTAGGACCTGCCGGAGACTTGCGCCGAGGTCGGCGGAGTAGCTCCGTGAATTCGTGCCTAGAGTCCGGACGGGGTCGGGAGGTGGCAGGGAGGGGAGCGGGGTCGTGGCTTGGCGGGATGGTCCGAGCAGGGGACTCAGAGCTGAGCCACGTCTGTTGACTCCAAGCTGTGTTTTTCCCGTCTCTCTCCTCGCCCCCCAAGAAAGGGAGAAAAGCGTCGGTACAAAATTGGGACTAAAATGTGGTGGAGAAGAAAAATAATGCCCCGAAACCACAAAGCTGTTTAGTTCGAAAGTGTTCCTAGAACTCGGCTCTCCTAACTCTTGGGTGGGCTTTCTGACATTATGCTGGTATATGTGGACTTCGTGTCTGCGCTGCTGGCTCGTCTCCGACTGACCCAAGCGCAGCCGCTCGCTCCTGGGCCCTTGACTGCACGGCCCGGAAATGCTGATTTGCGTTTCCTCGCTAGTCGGATCACGGTTGTCCTTTGCTCACACCACGCCTAGTACATCACAGGCAGGCACAAATACTCACGGAAATTGATTCGGTACCTTAAGTGAAAGAAGCGACTTTTTTCTTAGTTTCTTTTCTCTTCCTATTTCTTTTCTCTTCTTTTCTTTCTTTTTTGATTGGCCAAGCGCTCAGATTGTATGCAGTCTAGTTTCCTAAGAGAAGTCACTAATCCAGTGGTTCTCAGTTTATGGGCCATGAATTTCTGGGACCCTCAGAAAAATGTTTGTAAGGGTTTCTGCAAATCCATGTGGCCCCCAGGCAACACCCATAACCAACCGTATGTCACACAGCTAGATGTTAACTGATTTTTAAGATGTATATAAATGATTGTTAAAATTTAAAAGTTTTACAGAATAAACAGGTACTAAAAGCAACGCATGCCGTCACGTTGGAGGATTATTTTTTTTTAATTTTATTTATTTATGATAGTCACAGAGAGAGAGAGAGAGAGAGAGGCAGAGACACAGGCAGAGGGAGAAGCAGGCTCCATGCACCGGGAGCCCGACGTGGGATTCGATCCCGGGTCTCCAGGATCGTGCCCTGGGCCAAAGGCAGGCGCCAAACCGCTGCGCCACCCAGGGATCCCACGTTGGAGGATTATTAAAATGCTTTAGTTTTTTTTAAACTTAAGTATCTTAAAGATAGTTTAAGTTTGGAAACCACTTCTTTAGTCCAGTTGAAATTTTGGGCTGAGCTGTCCCAGCATGGAAACTCCTAGTCACATATGACTATTTAAATTTAGAATGGAGTTAAGATTAAGTACAATTTCAGTGTCAGTTTCTCAGTTTCACTGGGTACATTTTAAGTTCTCAGAAGCCACATGTGGTTAGTGGCCACTGTGTTGAAAAGTTTATGTAAAGAGTATTTCTATCATTGCAGAAATAGTGCTGATATAGACACTTAAAATGAATAAAAAGTAACTTAAGCAGAAGTAACTAACAAATCTGCTGTAGAGCATAACAGAGAAATGAAACTGGGGAGATAGTATGAAGCAGTTTATATCCTTGTTGCAGGAATACATATCTCTTAATAGAGAAATAAGAAAAGTACTGTTTTTTCTTGGGTGTTTTCTAGATTGTAAAATGCTTCCCCCTCTCTCCCCACTTCACTCCCCCCTCCCCCACCCTTGCCTCATTAATGTAGGTTAGAGTTACTTGTAAATTGGTAAAAAGTCGCTATGGAGACTAAGGACCAGAAGAAACACAGAAAGAAACACAGTGGGCCCAAAGCTGAGAAGAAAAAGAAACGGCATCTGCAGGATCTCCAACTTGGAGATGAGGAAGATGCCCGGAAGAGAAACCCCAAAGCTTTTGCAGTCCAGTCTGCTGTGCGGATGGCACGATCCTTTCACAGGTATGTTTATCAGGAGTCTAGTTGTTCCTCCATTTACTTTTTTTAAGCAGTAGGAGCCTGCCTAGATGATGTTTGGATTCATGAGTCTAACAGCTTTGAAGGACTTGAAGATGCATGCCATACTCCTTTTACTAACATGTGAGCGGGGCACCTGGGTGGCTCAGTTTTGTTAAGCGTTCAACTCTTGATCTCTGCTCAGGTCTTGATCTCAGGGCTGTGAGTTCAGGCCCCACATTGGGCCCCACACTGTGTGTGAGGTCTACTAGAGAGAGACAGAAAGAAAGAAAGATTGTAAACTTTAAACAGTTTCAATGGTAATAGGTGTGCTTGTGTTTTTTTCTGGATATGTTTTATATAATAATGTAATAAATAGCTTTATTGGGATCCCTGGGTGGCACAGCGGTTTAGCGCCTGCCTTTGGCCCAGGGCACGATCCTGGAGACCCGGGATCGAATCCCACATCGGGCTCTCGGTGCATGGAGCCTGCTTCTCCCTCTGCCTATGTCTCTGCCTCTCTCTCTGTGTGACTATCATAAATAAATAAAAATTAAAAAAAAATCTTTAAAAAAATAAATAGCTTTATTTAATAAGTTTTTGTTATATGTACTTTAAACATTATTGAATTAAACTCTAATAGCCAAATTTAATTCCAAAGATTCTGCTTTTATTCATTATGATCCACTGCCTGCATGTTTATCTTTTCTTTTTTAAACTATTATAATAGTTTAGTCAACTAATAGTTTAAACAAATAATTTAGTTAACTATTATAATAGTTAATGAAGCAATCAGATTTAAGGTGTGTGTAGTTTTAAAATTCTCTGTACTGTTGAAGTAAATCTGTTATATGTTTACTGAAGGGGTTATTTGGATTAGGTCTAGAAGTTAACGAGTTAAAGACCACTTTACTTACAAGGATGATGCCTTTTGTATTTTAAAAATTGATATACTTTTTCTTTCTTTTTACAAATAGGACTCAGGATTTGAAGACAAAAAAGCATCACATTCCAGTGGTTGATCGAACTCCATTAGAGCCCCCACCAATAGTGGTGGTGGTGATGGGACCTCCAAAAGTTGGAAAGAGCACTTTGATCCAGTGCCTCATTCGGAACTTCACCAGGCAGAAACTGACAGAGATCAGAGGCCCTGTAACAATCGTGTCAGGTAGGAGTCTACTACCTCAGGCTGATAGGGCACGTGTCGTCTGAGGGACAGGCATATCTTTGTCGAACATTTTCTTGACTGGTAAATATTGAAGTAATGTTCTCACTTTATTACCTTTCCTGTACTTGTACTAAGTTGGCTATAGTTTAAGAAAAGGATAGATTCCAGATATAACAATGATGTAGATGTACACCTTATTTGGACTGCTATATGGATTTGCCAGGTGTGTTCCTCTGAAAGGTTTGGCAGGCCTGGGCAACCTGAGTTGGTCATAGTGATCACCTTTCTTTAATAGGTAGCGAGTATCTGCTGTGTGTCAGGCATACCTACTTGCCCTCATAAGGCCATATCGTTAGGGAAATGAGGGGGTTTTCCTCTTTTTCTGTTAGAATTTGCCTGTTCTGGGAGATGGTGACCTTTCTGTTTGAGGGAAGATGAAAAAAAAATCCCAAAATGGTAATGGAAGAATCTGAAGTTCCCCCCCCCCCCTTTTTTTTAAGGTTTTATTATTAAGTAATTTCTCTACCCAACGTGGAGTTTGAACTCACAACCCCAAGATCAAGAGTCACATGCTCTACCGTCTGAGCCCTGGAATTTATTATAGCAATGCTATAGTTGGATTGAGGCTTTTCTTTTCTTCTTCTTCTTCTTCTTCTTCTTCTTCTTCTTCTTCTTCTTCTCCTTCTCCTTCTTCTCCTTCTTCTCCTTCTTCTCCTTCTTCTCCTTCTTCTCCTTCTTCTCCTCCTCCTCCTCCTCTTCTTCCTTTCTTCTTCCTTTCTTCTTTCTTCTTCCTTTCTTCTTTCTTCTTCTTCTTCTTTTTTTTTTTTTTTTTAAGATTATTTATCTTAGAGAGAGAGAGAGCAGCATTCAAGAGCAAGTGGAGCAGGGGCAGAGGGAGAGAATCTTTCAAGCAGGTTTCCTGCTGAGCGCAGAGCATGATACAGGACTCAATCCCAGGACTCCAAGATCATGACCTGAGCCAAAACCAAGAGCTGAACACTTAACCAACTGAGCTACCCAGGCACCCCAAAGCTTTTCTTGATCTTAAAGGCATTACTGTTATTTTTACTGACTTTTTAATTTTTTTTTTTAAGTGAACTCTATCCCAAGGGTGGGGCTTGAACTCCTGACTTGGGGATCAAAGAGTCACATGCTCCACTGACTGAGATAGGCAGGTGCCCCACTTTTATTTATTTAAAGTAAACTCTATTCCCAACGTGGGGCTTGAACTCACAACTCTGTGATCAAGAGTCGTAGACTGATTACTTTTAAGGTAATTTTGAAATAACAATTATTCCATAGAGATTTCTCTTACGTTAGGTTTGAGGATGTTTTTAGCTCTAGTAAGAACATGCAAAACTTTGATAGAGATAGAAGTGTTGGCCTGCTGCGCTTACCAGCAGGATCACAGTCACCACGGAGCTTGCTTGTCTGCCCATTCCAGCCAGAATTGTACCTGCTTGAGCACTTTATTCATGTGGATAGACTTTTGATACTATTTTAAAATTAGGGAACATAGCAAGAAAACCAAGATGGTATTTATCAGTTTGCTCCTATAAAAATGAACTCCTGGCATATTCCTGTAAGTGTATATTGTGCTTTACTGGATACAACTTAAAATGGTAATTAGAGTAAATGGATATATTTTTTCAAGGTTTTTATTTTTGTTTATTTATTTTTAAAAGATTTTATTTATTCATGAGAGAGACAGGGAGAGAGAGCCAGAGACACAGACAGAGGGAGAAGCAGGCTCCATGCAGGGAGCCCAATGTGGGACTTGATCCCGGGTCTCCAGGATCAGGCCCTGGGCTGAAGGCGGCGCTAAACCTCTGAGCCACCCGGGCTGCCCTATTTTTTCAAGATTTTTCAAAAGTCTTATTTCGGGGGGTCCTTGGGCGGCTCAGTCAGTTAAGCGTCTGACTCTTGATTTAGGCTCAGGTCATGATCTCAGAGTTATGAGACTGGGCCCTGTTCGAGGTTCCACATTCAATGCAGTCTGCCTGAGATTCTGTCTTTCCCTCTCCCTCCGCTCTTCCCCTTGCTAGTGTGCGTGCTTTCTCTTTCAAATAAATAAATAAAATATTTAAAGAAAAAAACTAAAATCTTATCTCTTTACTTACAGGTAAAAAGCGCAGACTCACCATTATTGAATGTGGGTGTGACATTAACATGATGATTGATCTGGCTAAAGTGGCAGATTTGGTAAGTCAGTGGGAGCAGTGTGAATTTCTAATGAGGATTTAGCAGTGTGGTAGATTATCCCATTTGAAGGAAAGACAGACTTATGATTATTAAAGGGATGATGAATATAATCAGGGATACTATAGATGTGTTTGAACTGATGATGAGGTTGATGGTGATATTGTTATAATAAAAATGGGGGATCCCTGGGTGGCGCAGTGGTTTGGCGCCTGCCTTTGGCCCAGGGCGCGATCCTGGAGACCCGGGATCGAATCCCACGTCGGGCTCCCGGTGCATGGAGCCTGCTTCTCCCTCTGCCTGTGTCTCTGTCTCTCTCTCTCTCTCTCTCTCTCTCTCTCTCTCTCTCTCTCTCTGTGTGTGACTATCATAAATAAATAAAAATTAAAAAAAAAAAGTAGAATGTTAAAACTTATTTAAAAAAAATGGAATGTGCACAATGGAATGTAGTCTCAACTCAAAGTAGAGAAAAATCCTTTAACAAACGTAGTTAATTAATACAGATAGACATATGTACATAAAAACATAATAGTAGGACCATTTCTTGGACCCTTACAAGGTACTGCGCTAACACCTTTCTCGAAATTTCGCTCATTAAATCCCCCAATATGCTTTGGAGGTAAGTAGGTATTATTATCTCCAGTTTACATAGGATGAAATTGAGGCCCTAGAAGTTAAGTAGTTTGTCTAAGGAAGGGAACTTTGCTCTTGGTGGTGCCAGAACCTCCAGTTCTTAATGATTGTGACAAAGTAAGTACATGAGTTGCCTTTGAGAAGTTGTCAGTGTTTATAATAGAAAATCTAGACAGCACATAGCATATGGAAATTGTGCAACTTTGATTGCATTGAATAGTAGTGTTCATTAATTACATTTTAAATTAGCAAAAATAAATCTAAGAAAAAAGCCATATTGATTAGGAAGAGTGGGGTAACAGAGGTGGTTGGTTTGTTTTTTGGTTCAACAATTTCTAAAAAACTGTTTGGTGACAAAGAGCTACAGATTTTGTCCTTTGGCCCAGGAAGTCTCCTAAGATACAAAATAAAAAGTAATTTAATGTAGATGTTATAGCTGTGCCATTCTAATATCAGAAAACTCAATGACATTCAAATTTTGAACATATAATGCTACTATTAATAGAAATAAGTGTCAATTGTCAACATAAAATAGTATAAACTTATTAAATCTTGTGTTTTTGAAATGATTAAAATAGTTTACGGAGTCCCTAATTTTAAAAGCATAGACATGTTAAGAAAGATGTCTTTCATATACATCTTTTTAAGACTTAAAAAGGAAACCGTCCATTTGGTAAAATTTTCAAACTATATTACAGAGTACAGTGCTTTTTTTCTCTTCCCTACTCTGACCCCTAATCTCTTAGTTTCCGTCAAAGCAATATCCTAGATATGTATATGAATACACATTCAACCCTCATAAAGCACATACTGTTTATTATATATGCTATTCTGTACTTTGCTTTTTTTCACTCAATGTCTTAAATGTATATAAGTAGTATAGTTCAACCTCATACTTTCTTAAGTATTCTGTTGCATGTACCATAATTTATTTAACCTGTTTTATGTTGATTGCTCTGAGTTGTCATAAAGCCTCCTGAGTCAGAGCAAAGGTATGTACAGTACATGGATTTGTGTGTGTATGTATGTGCATAGAAGGAATAATATATAGGCTTCATTTGTCTTTAATTGACAAGGTTGTCATCTAAGGGCCTTTTGCCACCTGTACTGTTTCTATAACGAATTGCTTGCCCCTTGGCACTTTATGGTGTCAAATGGAACAGGCTCCATGCAGCGAGCCCTATGTGGGACTCGATCCTGGGACTCCAGAATCACACCCTGGGCCGAAGGCAGGCACCAAACCACTGAGCCATCCAGGGATCCCTGAAGTGGAAATTTATATTGTGGTGGATATTGTCTCATGCTTGCCTTTTAGAGAAAGTCAGAGGGTGGTATTTTCTCTTATCAAAATGATCCCTAATCATTTCATTTAGTCCAGAGTAGGAGTTGGGAAACTTTCTGTAAAGGGCCAGATGGTAAATATCTTTAGCTTTGGGGTCATGGTTTCTCTTGCAAATGCTTAACTTTGTAGTTATAGTGCAAACACAATTGTAGACAATACATAAATAATATGGGCAGCCCCGGTGGCTCAGCGGTTTAGTGCTGCCGTTGGCCCGGGGTGTGATCCTGGAGACCAGGATCGAGTCCCACGTCAGGCTCCCTGCATGGAGCCTGCTTCTTCCTCTGCCTGTGTCTCTACCTCTCTCTCTCTCTCTCTCTCTCTCTCTCTCTCTCTCTGTGTGTGTGTCTGTCATGAATAAATAAATAAAATCTAAAAAAAACCACATAAATAATATGGCTGTGTTCCAGTGAAATTTTAGTTATAGAACAGGTTATGGGTCAGATTTGGCCCATAGTCCATAGTTTGCTTATGGTCTGTTTTGAGTAGCTTCCTTGAGTAATTCTGTTTTCTGTTTTAGGTTCTGATGCTTATAGATGCCAGCTTTGGGTTTGAAATGGAAACATTTGAGTTTCTAAACATCTGTCAAGTACATGGCTTTCCCAAAATTATGGGCATTCTCACTCACTTAGATTCCTTCAAGTATAATAAGCAACTGAAGAAGACAAAGAAGCGATTAAAACACAGGTTCTGGACAGAAGTCTACCCGGTAGGAAGAGAATTAATTTTTGAATACTAACACTGTAATCTTTCAAAAAAAATAAGATAACTAGGATAGATTTATAAACATCGCTTCAGGATTCACCTATGGCATATATATGTTCATAGTCCCTGCAATATTTCCTCAAAATAGTCTGTATTTCAGAACTCTTGGTGTGTCTCATTTGTCTTTGTAGCTCCCTAGCACCTGGCTCTAAGTGTTTTAGATTTGTGATTGTTTAATAGTTTATCCAAAGTTTCTCCTAGTTGCAGGACTAGGAACTATAGTGCACACATACTGCCACTCCACCCTCCCCTGCATGCTGCTGTTGGCCCATTGGTCATAGAATTTTTTCTGTGCCCAGAAGCCTCACTGCTCTCTCTGTGTAATACTCCAGATAGATGCCATCACTTGACTGGAGACCAGTTCTTGAAGCTAAGTGTTTTGGCAGTTCTGCCTCTCTTAAGTCCTAACAACATGAGTATCCTGAAAGAAGGCAGAGAAGTTTGGGAAGCATTAATAATAAGTGGCTTGCTAGAAGTCTGCCTTAGGATTGCTTCTTATTTAGAGGTCTTTATTTGATGTAGTATGACAAGAATTTAATTGAAATTTAATTTTTTGTTTTCTTAATGTTTAGGGTGCCAAGCTGTTCTACCTTTCTGGAATGGTACATGGAGAATATCAAAACCAAGAAATTCACAATCTGGGCCGTTTTATTACAGTAATGAAATTTAGGCCTCTTACGTGGCAAACCTCTCATCCTTATATCCTAGCAGACAGGTAAAAAGTGCATGTAAAGTTTTTCTTCCTGGCCCATGTATTTCAAAGCTGCAAAGGTTAGAAAAAGAACAGTAAGAGAGCTTATTTTGTACTTCTTTTTGAATACTGAGGGAGAAATGTAGTTGGAAATACCTACTTTTTTGTATCATTACCTAAAGATGCACTGGCTTCAGGAGTAAAGTATGAAATGTTTAGAAAAATGTCAGGTTTTTAAAGCATTCAAGGCTACTTAATATGGTCTTATCCTGCTTTTTCATCTTAATCTTCAGTGATCATGTCTTTAGACCATGGTGCTCCAGTCACCCAGACATACTCTGGGCTTTCTTTCCTTTATATTTTTTTTCATACTGTTTTCTCATCCTGTAATCCCTTTCTCTACTTGCCAGAATCCAAGGCACACCAAAAACCCAGATCAAAGCTTAATCCTCTCCCCTAAAGGGTTTTTATGGGTGTGTTTTCATCTCTTCCTTAATTCCAGGTGCATGTTATTTTCCCTTTTTGGTGTCTTACAGCATGTATATTATATAGAGCCTAAGAGCAGTGCAATCCTGTGTTTGCTTTTCTTTTGGTATATGGTGAACTGTGCTTCCTTCCTTCTGTATTTCCTAGAAGTTTCTGAACACTGTGTTTAGTGAACTAGTGAATTTGACCAGTCTTTGACACGTGAAGGGAGATGCAAAAATTTTGACATTTATTTCTGCCATATGATTGGGTTTTATTTTTCTAGGATGGAAGATTTGACAAACCCAGAAGATATTCGAACAAATATCAAATGTGACCGAAAGGTGTCTCTTTATGGTTATTTAAGAGGAGCACACTTGAAAAATAAAAGCCAAATTCACATGCCAGGTATCCTTTTGTTGTAAAATGTACCAAATTTGTAGAACTTGTGGGATGACTTACTTCATTTCTCAGGAAAACTGAAAAATGGCCAAACAAGATAGAGCATCATTGCTAGAAGTTTTAAGACTCAGCTCTGACTCAGCTAGCAAAGTTGAGTTGACCAAATCTCCTCTGTTCTGATGATGTTGGTTAGTTAGAGAGGCACAGTGCCAGTAACCAACAAATACACTTGTGGTTGAAGCCTTCCAACTGGGGGCTACTTTTGTTGATGGTTAATAAACTTGTATCTGAAGCTATCTTCCTCTGTCTTCCAGGTGTAGGAGATTTTGCTGTGAGTGATGTCAGTTTCCTCCCGGACCCCTGTGCACTTCCTGAACAACAAAAGAAGCGCTGTTTAAATGAGAAGGAGAAGTTGGTTTACGCACCTCTGTCTGGAGTTGGTGGTGTGCTCTATGACAAAGATGCTGTCTATGTTGATCTTGGTGGCAGCCATGGCTTCCAGGAATTGGTGAGAGGAAAGTCATAGGAAGTAATGTACTGTAATGTACTTCAGCTTTTATATACTGAAACTTTTTATTTGTATTTGGTAAAAGCTACAATGTACATTGTAAATGTACAAAATACTTAATTGCACCAGGCAGAAAGTAAAAGTCATGTTCTCCATTCTGTTGCCAAGACACACGGAATCCTAGGTCTTTTAGTGGGAGCATTGCAGGCAGTTTGGTGCTTGTACTTTCCGTCTCCCTTTATACAAGAATACCTCATTTTATTGTGCTTCGCTTTATTGCATTTCGCCAATATTGCCTTTTTTACACATTGAAGGTTTGTGGCAGCCTTGTATCGAATAAGTCTGCTGGTGCCTTTTTTTCAAAGGCATTTGCTCACTTTGTGTTTCTCTATCACATAATGTTAATTCTAACAATATTTCAAATGTTTTCATTATTATTATATTTGTTATAGTATCTGTCCTAAGTGATGAGCTCTCACTGCAACCTCAAATAATGATTGGCGTTTTTTAACAATAAAATATTTTTTAATTAAGGTATGTACATTTTTTTTATTTTTATTTTTTTATTGGAGTTCAATTTGCCAGCATATAGCATAACACCCAGTGCTCATCCCGCCAAGTGCCCCCCTCAATGCCCATCACCCAGTCACCCCCAACCCCCCGCCCACCTCCTCTTCCACTACCTCTTGTTCATTTCCAGAGTTAGGTGTCTCTCATGTTTTGTCACCCTCACTGATATTTTCACTCATTTTCTCTGGTATGTACATTTTTAGACATAATGCTATTGTACACTTAATAGATTACAGTATAGTATAAACATAATTTTTATATGTACTGGGAAACTAAAAAATTCATTTGACTTGCTTTATTATGGTGGTTTAGAACCAAACTCACAATATCTCTAAGGTATGCCTAGATAATATCAGTGTGTTTTCTAGCTTTCTTTGGGCTATTTCTTTTTTTTTTCTGTAAATATTTACATATTTATTTATTACATATTTAGATTATTGAAATATTACATATAAATACCATGTATTTGTATCCATATATATGGTCTTTGTGTGTCTGTGTGAGAGAGAGAAGTAATATTTCTTTATTTTATTTTTAAATTTTTTTAAGTAGGCTTCCCACCTGAGCCCAAAACAGAGTTTGAACTCACAACTCTGAGGTCAAGACCTGAGCTGAGATCAAGAGTTGGGTGCTTAACTGACTGAGCCACCCAAGTACCCCATAATATTTTTTATATGGGCTCCAACTTTAAATGCTCTTGCAACTTTTGAGGGGCACCAGGAATATGTGATCCCATTGCTCCCTATTAGTATTGATAGAGCTGCTTTGGTCTTTGTTATAGCTGTGTGGTATTTCATTGTCTGGATAAATCTTATTTATTGAACCAACCCAACCCTTGGAAATCTGGACGGGGGGAGTTTACCCCTACTTGCCCTTGTTTTCAACATTGCTGCAGTTGGCACCCTCAAACATGAGGTTTTGGTCATTGGGAGGGATTTTCTTTTTTTTTAAATTTTTATGAAGAGTTTATGAGAGAGAGGCAGAGACATAGGCAGAGGGAGAAGCTCCATGCACCGGGAGCCCGACGTGGGTCTCCAGGATCGCGCCCTGGGCCAAAGGCAGGTGCCAAACCGCTGTGCCACCCAGGGATCCCTGGGAGGGATTTTCTATGCAGTAAATTCCTTGAAGTGAAAATTTTGGATTTTAAAAAAAATGAATTTTCATTTCTTTATTTGGCAGTGGAATATTGGACAAACTAAATGTTTATTAGCATTGGCGCTTAAAGTTTTTCTAGCTAAGTGTATAGGTTACCAGGTTGTATACTCCATGAACTTTGGAAAAGTTTAATGAAGACAGAGGTCAAATTTAGACTTTAAGATTTTTTTTTTTTTTGAGGCAATAGAAAATGTTTTCAGGAATCATGTTTAGGATAATTTTGAGAAACTGATTGAAACCAGTATGTCCCTCTTCAGAATTCTTGTATGTTCCTCACTTTCCCTTTCTTGGTGGCCTTGACAGGACGAGGTGAGGCCCACCCATGAACTGGTACAGAGTCTCATTTCCACCCATTCCACTATTGATGCCAAGATGGCTTCAAGTAGAGTGACGCTTTTTTCAGATTCCAAACCACTGGGCTCAGAAGATATAGATAATCAAGGGTAAGTTTGCCATTTTTTTGGTTTTTCATAAAAAATATTATATTATAGAAGTTATATCACCTATCATTCTGCCATAAATAACATTTTAGTGGGATTCATTCCAGGTTTTTTTGTTTGTTGTTTTGCTTTGTTTTATACATACACATGTTTCTGAGAGCTTTTAAGTTATGTGACCTTACATGGAAATATTCTTGAAATATTATATAGGATTCAGTTTTTGGCAGACCAGAATATTCCTCACATATCACAAAATATTTTCTGTAAGTTGCATTTGGTTTCTTACTTGGCTTTCTTTTAGTGGCCAAATACTAGTCCCAGCAGAGTAAGGAAGCTTATTCAGGTGGTGTTTTGGTTTTATTTAGTGGTTTATGTGTGACTCCTAATAAAAATCAGCCTAAAAATGATTGAACTTATTATTTTCAGTTTCTAGTTTATAATTTATCATAAATATATACAAACAAAGGAACATTTTTGGAAAAATTTATCTGCTGCCCTGTAACTAGCAAATGATATAGATGATAAGTACAGTATTCTTAATGTGTTATTCTTTCTACGTTTGTTAATTGACATTCTTTAACAAGAAGTTCTCACTTCTACCTCTTTATTTTAAGATCACTGTTGGCTAATTGACTTTTTAAAAAATTCCATTTGTTACCCCATTATTCTTTCTGATGCCTAGATTGTTCCTTCAGTCTGTCTTGTGTGTCCTTTTGGCACTTCCTTGTTAGCCTTTGAGCATTTTCTAGCTTTCTGAAACAATAGCATATTCCAGGCTTAACTTTGTACCTTCCTTGCCTTAGATCTGGAGTCAGTCATTTAAGGATCATCTGTTTCAATTTGGAAATGATCAGTCTTCTAAAAAGATTGATCAAACATTCACTGTCCTTTAGAGCAGTTTTTCCCTAATGTTAGACATACATTTATTTATTTATTTATTTAAAAGATTTTGTTCATTTATTCATGAGAGAGACAGAGAGAGAGGCAGAGACATAGGCAAAGGGAGAAGCAGGCTCCCTGTGGGAGCCTGATGTGGGACTTGATCCTGGATCCTAAGATCACACCCTGAGCTGAAGGCCGATGCTCCACCACTGAGCCACCCAGGTGTCCCAGACTTTTGTTATTTAAAGGTTACCTCTTTATTCTCTTTAAGTTATTTTGTAGATGAGGGAACTGTTTCATGAGTTTGCTTATTATCTATTCCAGTGTTTATCAAATCCTTCTTTTCTGTGCTATGTTATTTAAAACCTTAGCATTCCTTGATATTATCTTCTATTTGCATAATTATTGACTTGCCATGTCTAGCGTAGCCAGTTACTGTACAAATTGAATTATTTTTTACTTACATGGTAATATAGGCAGTGGATGCCAAAAGAGGAAAAGCAGGTGGATCTGAAAACTGGTCGCGTGCGTCGGAAAGCCATTTTTGGAGATGAAGAAGATGAGTCTGGAGATAGTAATGATGAAGATGATGAAGAAATGTCTGAAGGGGACAAGTTGGATGATAGCTGTAGTGATGATGAAACAGAAGATGAAGCAGATACCGAAATGATGGATATGATGTACACAAGGGAAAAAGGTGTCAAACGCCAGAGACTCCAGGAGATGGAAGAAGACCTCGAGGCGGATTTGCCAGCATTTGCTGACAGTGATGATGACCTTGAGAGGAGCTCAGAGGATGAAGGAGAAGCAGAGGAAGCTGATGAAAGCAGTGAAGAAGAGGATTCCCCTGCAGAAGAGAGGGATATTTCAGAATCTAAAGTTGTTGGAGACTATAGTAAAGCAGGACTTTTACAAACTAATGGCCTGAGTAAAAGTTTGAATCTGGAGAGTTCTTTGACAGTCAACAAAGCCACCCTCGCCATTTCAGATTCAGGCCATTGCACAGCTGAAGAGGCATTTGCATCTGAAGATGAAACTGAGGAAAGCTCCTCTCTCAATACAGAGGAAGAGGATTCAGAAAATGAAGAGGTTATTAGGAAAAAGTTCCCAAAGTCTTCTCAAGTGGCTGGTGATCAGAGACTGGGGTCAGAGAACTTAATTGGTGAGACCAGTGATGTCGAAGACTTACTCAAAGAGGAAGAAGATTACAAGGAAGAAAACGACTATTCCACAGAAACTTCAGGTATGCTTAAATTTAATGTAACTTGTGAACTTGGCACTGAAAATGTTGTACAAATAGAATGTCTACATTTGGAAGTCTGCTGTTTTGGAGATTTTGTTAACTTTTCAAATATTGCACGCAGAAGGATTTGAGGATGAATGAGTAGTCAGCTTGAAGCAGAAAGGACAGATAAACACACTTAACCGATGTTGGCATTGGTCCTTTCAGGTGCCCTCAAGTGGAAGGAAGACCTTTCCAGGAAGGCAGCTGAGGCCTTTCTGAGGCAGCAACAAGCAACTCCAAACCTTCGAAAACTTATTTATGGCACAGGTGAGGGAGCTCTGGTTCAGATCTAGAAACGTTTTTGTTTCTTAGACCGTTTTCTGGAAAGGAGATGAGGAAATTGGTTGGAGGATTTCAGTGGTACTTTTGAAATCCATATGATATCCTTGGTTGTCATAGTTCCATATGTGGCAGATATTTTTAATCATCAGCTCATGGGCTTGCTATAAAACTTTTGATGAGAATACTCTCCATTATGTCATTTTATATCTGCCATACAAAATCCTTCATGAGATTTTTTGGGGGGTAGAATTTAGTGCCAGAAAAGAACAAAGTGGTGCATTTTATGTTGTGGTTCCCAATTACTGTTTGATTAGAACAAGGCCAAAAGAGTATATGGGAGCTAGGAGCATTGAATTGACTGATTGTTGTGTACTGATTTCCATTCTATTCAGGTTTTGCCTAAGTACTCTTAGTGACTAGAGACTTTGCCATCTTCAAAAGAAACTATGCTAATTAAAAGCTCTGCCTTTAAGTGCCCCTTCCTTTTCCCAGCCCCCAAAATTCTGTTTCCTTACTGGACTCTGTTGCTTTCTTGTAGGAGGGCCTAAGTCCTACAGGCACATTGAGCAGTAGTTCCTTGGCCTTTTCTTTGTAGCTGATGCACTCAGGGGCATCACATTACCTACTACAAACAGGGACCCTTAGTCCCAGGTCCTTTAGGGTGAATATTTGTTCTCATGTTTTCATCATGGTGGTCTCTTTAGTGACAGAGGATAATGAAGAAGCAGATGGTGATACCAGGGAAGAACTTGGAGGGTTGTTTCGTGTCAGTCAGCCTTCAAGAGAATGTAAGCACAAACTTGACTCTTTGGACTGCTCCAGATTTCATGTGGAGGCGCCCCATGATTGGGATTTAGAGGAGGTAAGGTTGAATGTGAATCATATGTTTGACTTATGAGACTATCCGAGAATTGCTCTAAAAGAAGATTATGTGATTTCAGTAATGCCTACCTATTATTAGCTTTTCATTTTTATAAGATAATAGGACATTCCCCCAGATATTGGACTGGATATTTCATGCATCCCAAGGAATAATGTGTTTTGAGTTTAGGCAGACTGTATGCATATGTTATGGAGAAAGGAAATGTGGATAGTAGTGTTAATCTTTATTTTGAAGCATTGCACATAAATTTTCATTTATTTGAAATATTTTGTTTTATAACTAGGATATACTTCATGTCCCTGAGTTAACATTTATAATTTCTACTATTTGTAAACAAAAAAATTCATGACACTGGTAAATTTTCTTCCCCTGCTCACAATTCTTTAGTGACACTGGAATTTATTGAGTTCTCAAACTTGTAAGGCTTAATCCCTTCTTAGACCTCGTGCCCCTCTGTTTTCTCTTTTAGAATGTTCTTTTTTTTTTTTTTCTCTCTCTCTCTTCTAGAATGTTCTGACGTTCTTAAGGCTGGCTTCTTTTGAGCATTTGGTTTTGCTTAAATTTTACTCCTCAAGAGAGTCCTGATTACTATCATATTACTTGGTTTGTTTATTTATTTATTTATTTATTTATTTATTTATTTATTTTATTATATTAATATTTTATTTATTTATTCATGAAAGACACAGAGAGAGAGGCAGAGACACAGGCAGAGGGAGAAGCAGGCTCCATGCAGGGAGCCCAACGTGGAACTCGATCCTGGGTCTCCAGGATCACGCCCTGGGCTGAAGGTGGTGCTAAACCGCTGAGCCACCCAGGCTGCCCATATTACTTGGTTTAATTCATGAGTAGCGCTTAAGCACTTTATGAGATTTCATGTAACTTTTTTTGCAGTATAGCTTCATACAAATTATAGAAAACTACATAAAAATAGCTGTTTAAGTTAATGGATTTCTAAGTGAGGACCCCTGTAACCACCGTGTGTCTGTCCCAGTGATAGTCCTATCCTCTCTGCAGAAGGAACCATGATTCTTACGGTAATCATTTCTTACTTTCTTCATAATTTCATCCTCCAAGTTTGTACCATCGTCCGTTTTATCATATTTTGGGGGGTTTATTTTTCACTATGCCTTTCCTTTTTCTTAATTTACAGTCCCCTCCATCCATCTTTTTTTTCCCTTATATTTTATTTGTTAAAGAAACTAAGTGTTTGATGTGTAGAGTTTCTTATATTCTGGTTTTTGTGGATTGCATTACATCCTTATTTGCAGTTTATCAGGCTGTTCTCTTCTGTATTTCCTGTAAAATGATGCAAAGCAATACTAATAGAACTGTCTGTGATGATGGAAATGGAAATGATCTATAGATCACTGGATATCCATTGTGGCTACTTGCGTCTGTTGAATACTTTAAGTATAGCTAGTAAGACAGAAGAACTAAATTTTAATTTTATTTTAGTTTTATATAATCTTAATTCATTAGAATTTAAATAACCATGTGGTTGTAGCTACCCTATGGACATCTAGAGATTTGATTAGATTTAGGTTTGGTTTTTATTTTGGGGAAGATTGCTTCCTAGATGATGGTGTTTGTGCATTAGGAGGCACATAAAATCATCTTATGATGTTAAAATCTGTTGATCTTCAATGCCTGGATCCATTAATTTATTAAGGATGTAAAATGGTGATATTCTGTTCAAATTACTGTTTATTGTCTGGAATATTTCTATAAAGAGAAACTTCCCCTCATCTACTATTTGGTTACTTAGTTCCGTAAGAGCAGGATAAATACTTGATTCTTTTTATCAGTTTTCAGAATGATTCTCCAAAGGTGACTCTTTTTTCTTTCTTTATAAGTATCATTTTGAACTCATGGAATTTAATATAATTATTTCCTTCCACTGAACTTGTTATCCTTATGGATACTCATATGTATCCCATTTCTGGCCAGTGGGAGTCTCTTTAAGTTGGTTTCTGAATTCTTTTGACATTCTCCTAGGAGTGTTTGATTGCTTCTTTGCCATCTGGTATGATGAGGTGTTCCAGGATCATCATCTACATTTCTGATGCCCAACTTGGAAGCAGCCATAAGAAGTCCTGATTTCTTTTAGTGCAAAGTGATATTCTGGTGTCATAATCTAGACATAGGAATACACACTGCTATGAATTGGTCATTGTTTCTAGGCCTTTCAGTGACCAGAGCTAGGAGAATTCATAGAATTATTTCCAATTCAGATTCAGAATTGTAAGGTTCTTATTTAAACTCTTTCAGCTTACATTTGTCTGTTTTTCCACTGGGAATTAATTCCATTTGACTCTGAAGATGATGAAATTAGAAAAGTGTGTAATTTGCTTTATCCCACTTATGCACAAAATGGTGTCAGAATAACATTACGCATGTTACTGTTTCTTTTTACACATGTTACTGTTAATATGATTACTGAAAACAAATTTTTCCTTCTTATTTTCCCCCATTTTTCTTTTCAGAAGTGGCTACATTTCCACCAGCAGTGTATGTGGCTTCTGATTTCTCTGCATCCTCACCAACACTTGTTATCCCCTGTTCTTTTCATTAGTATTATTATGGCCATTCTGTTGGTATGAAGTAGTACCTCACTAGAGTTTTGATTTGCCTTTTTCTGATAGCTAATGATATTGGGCATCTTTTCATGTGCTTCCTGGCCATTTGAAGAAATGTCTGTTCAATTGGGTTGCTCATTTTTTTTAAATGTGTTTTTTGTCATTGAGTTGTAAGAGTTTTTATATATTCAATTTGTCAGATATATGATTTACAAATTCTGTAGGTTGTCTTTTCTGTGCCCTTTGAAGTGCAAAATTTAAAAGTTTTTTTTAAAGTGCTCGCTTTGGCAGCACATAAAATAAAATGTTTTTAAAAGATTTTATTATTAATTAGAGTGAGTGCGTGAAAGAGAGCATGAGTTTGTGCGGGGTGGGAGGGAAAGTGCAGAGGGGGAAGGAGGAGTAGGCTGTCTGCTGAGCAGAGAGCCCCATGCAAGGCCGGATCCCAGAACCCTGAGATCATGACCTGGGCCAAAGGCAGACACTTAAATGACTGAGCCACCCAGGTTCCCCAACAAAGTTTTAAATTTTGATGAGGTTTAACTTATATTTCTGCTGTTTTTATGTTTGGTATCAAATCTAAGAAACCATTGCTGAGTCCGAGATCCTGAAGCTTCACTCCTATGTTTTCATTTAGTTTAGTTCTTACATTTAGGTCATGGATCCATTTCAAGTTGATTTTAGTATTTGGTGTGAAGTAAGGTCAACTTCATTCTTTTATCCCATGTCCTAGCACCATTTGTTGAAAAGTCTATTCTCCCCATTCCCTTGTCTTGACGCTCTGAGTGAAAATCACTTGACCGTAGGGACGAGGGTTTATTGATGGACTCCTAATTATATTTCACTGACTTCTATCTTTCTTATGCTCATACCTGACTGATTACTACTGCTTTGTAGTATGTTTTGAAATTGGAAAATGCGAGTCCTCCAGCTTTGTTCTTGTTTAAGATTGTCTTGCCTATTCTAGATCCCTTGGGTTTTCTATGTTGTAGGATCAGCTTTCCTATTTCTCCAAAGAAGCAAGTTGGGATTTTAATAGGGATTGTGTTGAATCTTTAGATCACTTTGGATAGTATTGATATCTTAACAATATTAAGTCTTCTGTTCCATTAATGTGGGATGCCTTTCCATTTATTTAGATCTTTGATTTCTTTCAAGAACGTTTTGTCGTTATCAGAGTATATGCTTTGCATTTCTTTTATGGAATTTCTTCCTAGCATTTTATTGTTTTTAGTGCCATTGTGACTGTTTTCTCAATTTCATGTTTGGATTGTTCATTGTTAGTGTATAGAAATAAAATTTGTTGTTATATATTAATCTAGTATTTTGCAACCCCACTAAACTCATTTATTCCGAAAGTTTTTCAGAGCATTCCTAGGATTTTTTATAGATAAGATCGTATCATCTATGAATAGAAGCAGTTTTCCTTTCTAAAGTAGATGCCTTGGGCACCTGGGTGGTTCAGTGGTTGGGCGTGTGCCTTTGGCTTAGGTTGGGATCCTGGGATTAAGTCCCACATCAGGCTCCCTGTGGGAAGCGTACTTCTTGCCTTTGTCTCTGCCTCTCCCTCTGTCTCTCATGAATGAATGAATAAAAACTTTAAAAAAATAGATACCTTTATTTCTATTTCTTGCCTAATTGTCTTAGCTAGAATGTCTAATATGGTGTTGAATAGAAGTAGTGAGAAGAGACAGCCTTGTCTTACTCCTGATCTTAGGGGGAAAGTTCTCAGTTTTAACCACTTAGTATAATGCTAGCTGCAGGTTTTTTATGGGTGCTCTTTATCAGATTGAGGAAGTTCCCTTCTGTTCTTGGTTTGTTTATTGTTTTTGTTACAGAGGGTCTATTTTTTAGTTTTTTTGGTCTTTGGTTTCCCGAAATCAATTGTGAATCTTCATGAAAGTAAGGATTTCTTTCTTTTTTTTTTTTTTTAACAGTTTGCCATCCTTCAGTGCCTACAAACCTTCTTGGTATAGAGCAGATGTTCAGTAAATATTTAGTGAGTGATGAATAAATAAGTAAAGGTGCCCGTCCACCTTCTGGCTCAAGAATAAATAAGTAAAATCTTTAAGAAAAACCAAAAAAAATATTTACATCATCCTGTTCAATTTAACATAAAGGAATCTGTGTTTGTTTCAGGGCCAGTCCTGACATAGCACTCAGTAGTTGTATGTTCCTGCTCAACTGTAGATTTATGGGAATACATCTACCTTAGCAGTGGTTCTGAGAATTAACAAGATCATGTATTCAAAAGGGTTAGCACTTGTAATATTACATATTTAATAAAATAAGATTTTTTTCTACCTAAAATGGATTGATTTCTCCCTAACTATTCTTGAGTAGGTTGGCTCTTCCTTCTCTTGTTACAAAATGAGGTAACCCTCACTGGTTAGCCACTGAGCAGACAGGTGTGGAAACCTGCAAAAGGTGTAGAATATCACTAATACTAGTTTCTCTCTAATTCAAGTTTTCTAATTTAAATTTTTTTTTCAACATCTAACATCTTTTTTTTTCAACATCTAAAATCTTAATGAGAGAGCAGGATCCAGGGTGAGTTTTTGCAGGCCCTGGCAGATGTCCTCCACCCCTGGCATGCTCGGCCCTTAGAGAGCACTTAGGGTCTGGTTGGCTATTCCCATTTCTGCAAGACCTTGCC